GGCCTATCTCATTGCTTAAGGCTAGGACAGTACAAATACCCCCCAAAGGACCCCTTTTTGGAAAGTAGACAGTCCAATGTTTTGTAAGAGGCACGGCGAGTTTACTGAAGTTGTAATTTTTTGCATTTTTTTGGAAAATAAGGAGAATTTAAAAAATTAGTTTTTTTTCACAATTTTTTGTTTTCACATACTGTCACCAGTGCAGTACAGTGTCAAAATGTAACTGGTGTATTGGTGATCAGGGACACTGACTGGAGATAGTATATAGAAAAATAATAAATAATAATATTTTTTTCTTTTTTTTTCTTTTTCATTAAATTTTTAATTCAACAGGTCAACCTAAGGACAACACTTGCAACAAGCTACATTTTAACATTTAGTTGTGCACATAAACACTGTTGACCTGAAGAACCTCAGAGCATGAACACAGCAGAAGAGAGAAACATCTAACACTTTTTGGGAGCACCTACTTACAAGTGGCTGGCCTGCTGCATTCTGAATACAAGAGGAGGGATGATCGGCACGGGTACCATTCTGATTGGATGAGATGAAGAGGTGGGGAGGTGACATTACACTCTCCATTTAGTCCAATTAGAAAATGGAGACACAGACAGCAATAAAAATAAAGCTAACAGAGATCTATCCATCCCATAGCCTACTAAAAACGAAATGTTTTTCTGTATGGGTTTTTCTTTGAGATTTCCACTCTGGTGGCAACCTATTCTGTGTCAATACAGTTTAAAGTCTAATTAACATATAATTAAAAGTTAATTAAGATTCGCTACTATTTCAATTACACAACTGAAGAATAATAATCACTGTTGGATGACTTTGAAGAAGAGATTTCCCACTCCAAACAGTTTCTTCCCACCATCACTCAAAACTCCAAGTGCCAAAGGTGAACCAAGCTATCCATGCTCAAAGACTCAATGCAGATAGAAAGGGAAGCCACACACTGGATAAATTACTGACATCCACGTTTATTATATGCATTATATACAGTGGGGATCGAAAGTTTGGGCACCCTAGCTAAAAATGTGTATTAATGTGCATAAAGAAGCCAAGGAAAGATGGAAAAATCTCCAAAAGGCATCAAATTACAGATTAGACATTCTTATAATATGTCAACAAAAGTTAGATTTTATTTCTATCATTTACACTTTCAAAATAACAGAAAACAAAAAAATGGCGTCTGCAAAAGTTTGGGCACCCTGCAGAATTTATAGCATGCACTGCCCCCTTTGTCAAGCTGAGACCTGCCAGTGTCATGGATTGTTCTCAATCATCGTCTGGGAAGACCAGGTGATGTCAATCTCAAAGGTTTTAAATGTCCAGACTCATCTGACCTTGCCCCAACAATCAGCACCATGGGTCCTTCTAAGTAGTTGTCTAAAAAACTGAAACTGAAAATAGTTGACGCTCACAAAGCTGGAGAAGGCTATAAGAAGATAGCAAAGCGTTTTCAGATGTCAATATCCTCTGTTCGGAATGTAATTAAGAAATGGCAGTGATCAGGAACAGTGGAAGTTAAAGCAAGATCTGGAAGACCAAGAAAAATATCAGACAGAACAGCTCGCAGGATTGTGAGAAAAACAATTCAAAACCCACGTTTGACTGCACGATCCCTCCAGAAAGATCTGGCAGACACTGGAGTTGTGGTACACTATTCCACTATAAAGAGATACTTGTACAAATATGGTCTTCATGGAAGAGTCATCAGAAGAAAACCTCTTCTACGTCCTCACCACAAAAATCATCGTTTGAACTTTGCAAATGAACATATAGACAAGCCTGATGCATTTTGGAAACAAGTTCTGTGGACCGATGAGATTAAAATTGAACTTTTTGGCCAGAATGAGCAAAGGTACGTTTGGAGAAGAAGGGGCACAGAATTGAATGAAAAGAACCTCTGTCCAACTGTGAAGCATGGGGTTGGATCAATCATGCTTTGGGGTTGTGTTGCAGCCAGTGGCACAGGGAACATCTCACGAGTAGAAGGAAAAATGGATTCAATAAAATGTCAGCAAATTTTGGATGGTAACTTGATGCCATCTGTGAAAAAGCTGAAGTTAAAGAGAGGATGGCTTCTACAAATGGATAATGATCCTAAACACACCTCGAAATCCACGGGGGATTACATCAAGAGGCGTAAACTGAAGGTTTTGCCATGGCCTTCACAATCTCTTGACCTCAACATCATTGAAAATCTATGGATAGACCTTAAAAGAGCCGTGCGTGACAGACAGCCCAGAAATCTCAAAGAACTGGAAGACTTTTGTAAGGAAGAATGGGCAAAGATACCTCAAACAAGAATTGAAAGACTCTTGGCTGGCTACAAAAAGCGTTTACAAGCTGTGATACTTGCCAAAGGGGGCAGTACAAGATATTAACTCTGCAGGGGGCCCAAACTTTTGCAGACGCCATTTTTTTGTTTTCTGTTATTTTGAAAGTGTAAATGATGGAAATAAAATCTAACTTTTGTTGACATATTATAAGAATGTCTAATCTGTAATTTGATGCCTTTTGGAGATTTTTCCATCTTTCCTTGGCTTCTTTATGCACATTAATACACATTTTTAGCTGGGGTGCCCAAACTTTCGATCCCCACTGTACATCCACCAGCATAGGAATTGCAGTCCTCACCCTGGGACTGCCCCCTCTAACATGTTTCTTCCAATAGAGCTTAGTTGTATGACTAAGCACTATTGGGTGAAAGGTGTAGAGGGGCGATTCCAGGGTGATGATTGCAATTGCCATGGTGGCCGATGTCGCATAAAATAAACATGGATGTCACTGCTTTTTTTGGAAGAAATTCACTTCATCAAGCATTTGTTCTCCTTTGCCACTAGAACCTAAAGTACCAGAGGTAAACCAAGCAATCCACGCTTACAGACTAAATGCAGAAAGAAAGGACTGTCGCACAACAGAAAAATTACTGATTTTCATGTTTATTGTATGAGGCATCCACCAGCATTGCTGTCCCCACCCTAGGATTGCCCCTTCCCAACATGTTTCACCCAATAGGATTTAGTCGCATGACTAAGCACTGTTGGGTGAGACACGTAGAGGAGACAGTTCCATGGTGGGGACTGCAATTGCCATGCTGGTAGATGTCAGCCACCATATTTTAAAGAGTTAGTTCACCTTTTCCCCCAAAAATTAAAATATGCACGCCATACCCCCTGATCCCGGCTGCACTTATCTCTGATTGTCTTCTACTCACCAGCCAGTATAGTGGTCTGGGCATCTGGACAATGCAGTAGATGGTGTAGAAGCTGTGTAGCATCATAATGCTCATAATGGCACACAGGCTTTGGTCAGTGCTGACACTGATCAATGAGAATCTCTCTGAGCCATCCTCAGTGTCTCGCAAGAAAGAAGGGTGCAGATGATAGTAGCTTTCAAATGCATGGACTGCTACATCTTCGAGTGTGGGTAGCAGAAGATATTCAAGGCAGGAAATGAGTGCTTTAGGGACTGGGGTTGTGGGGATGGTCTAGTGCAGAGGTGTCAAACTGTGGCCCTCCAGCTGTTGCGAAACTACAAGTCCCATCATGCCTCTGCCTTTGGGAGTCATGCTTGTAACTGTCAATCTTGCAATGCCTCATGGGACTTGTAGTTTGGCAGCAGCTGGAGGGCCGCCAGCTTGACAATCGTTGTCTAGTGAGTAAAGCCAGCCATAGATGGTTTGAATCTTGATCGGTTCAGCAGGGACTTGCCAAGATTCGAACCATCTATGGGCATCTATGGGAAGCTATCCAATATTTTCAGACAAAACAATAAATAATGCAAAATGTGGCAACCCTGACTTTTTCAAACCTAAGACTGGCATTCTGTGGAACTGAAGTGGCAGAATGTGACAATTACAAATTCAAATTAAATCACAACAACTGGATTAATTTCCCCATGAGCCTGAACTACTATCGCATCATGTGACATCATCTGAATGAAACAAATGCATTCGTTAATTTTGGTATAATTATTTTTTTTTGATTCATTAACATTTGTTACTATGTCCAGTCGAAGATTTGCGTACATCAGAATCTCTGAAAATCAAACTTTCACCAGAAAATCAATCAATTATGAAATGAAATGCAACTTTCTGGGTATATCTCCTGTCAGTTTTTTCTATTGCCATTTGTGTCTCTGTGGGGAGATTTCCTTTCACTTCCTGTCCCATAGCCAAGATTGGAATGTAAGGGAATCCCTGGTTTTCACCCCCATGGAAAGAATTTCCCTCTATTTCTGTTCTGGTGACAGCCCAAAATTTGGGATTTTATTTCACTTTCACCATTGCTGATAATGGCAGATATAGAGAGGGTGAATGTCCATAGCAGGGGAACAGACAGCAGTAACAATTATATAGGGGTTCTAATCCATCTCCACTCTATCCAAATCCTTAGATTTGGATAGAGTGGAGATGGATTAGAACACCTCTTTGGTTTTTATTGTTGTTTGTGCCCCCTTAACCTCCCCGGCGGTATGATTATTTCAGATTTTTGGTGCTGAAAGCGGTACCATTATTTTGCATGGAAATTTGTCGTTTTATATTGTAGGCCTGTAATTCTTAGGAATAACTCACTGAAATGTGTCCGAACAAGAGTCTAGTAAACATACCGGGTAGAATAAAACTTGAAACACGAAATCATAAATTTTAATTAAATAAATAATCATAAAAAATAATAATATAATAATAATAAATTTAATTCAATGATATAATCAAACCAAAAACACTAACATTTGAAATATAGCGCCAAGTTCGCACATCACTGAGCAAAGTCGCAAAATCATTTTCAGTATCTGATGACAAATTTCCCCACGAATCATTATCACTCAGTTCTGCAAGTGGTTCTGATTTACTATCGCTGTTCTCTAGCTGGTCTAAAACCGCTTTTGACCTAAAGGGACACTTTTTGGACGCCATGGATATTTCTCAGTTTCCAGGCAGAAAGAACAGTAAAAATGCAGGCAGGGCACAGGGACAAAGCACTCGGAACAAAATGTATGTGAAATGGTTTGATACAGTAATGTTATACTATGTGATTTTAGTGATTTTTGTGAATGTCACTTTTTGTCATTTCAAATTTCCTGCCGTTCCGTCCCCCATATGTTACGACGCTCGCAGGGGACGGAACCCAGATTACAGATGCCGGCATCCGCCGGAGGACATTGCCAGGAACACTGCAGGAGGGACATCGCGGGAGCACAGGACAAGGTAAGTGATCGAGGAATCGCGGAGCAGCGCCGCATGGTAAGCTTGAGTGTAGCTCGGGGTTACCGCTTGTGGTACTGAAACTTTACCCCGAGCTACACTCGGGAATACCGCCAGGGAGGCTACAGTAGTAAACTGCAACCAAAAAAAAAACAAAACCTGCAATACAATGGCATAACATGCTAGTATGCATCACATAGTAGCACATTATGTGAAACTTACCTTAAAATGAAGCCCTCAAATGGCACACTGTCACTGCTGACTGGGCTTCCATCTTCACCCGGTCCTTCTTTCTGTTCACAGGCTCTAGCGGTTTGAATGGTCGAGCCACGATGATGTCACTCGCACACATGTGTGCAGGTGTCACTTTTTATGGCACGCAGCTCTGAAGGAATGGCACGGGCATGTCGTTCCTTCAGAGCGCATGCGCTGGTGCTCTACACACGTAAATATCTCCTAAATGGTGCACGCTTAGGAGATATTTACAGTACCTACAGGTGAGGCTTACTATTGGCTTACCTGTACGTACAAGAACAAAAACTGACTTTCCTACCACTTTAAGGGAAAGTCACCTTCCCTATTTGTCCTGTTTACCATTGTCACCAAAAGTAAAAGAAAATCCCAAATTTGAGTTTGTCCCCAGAACAGGAATAGATGGAACATCTTCAAATGGGAGCATTAGTTCTGGGGATCTAGAGGGCCCCCAATGGATTCCCTTAATTTGCAGGAATTTCCTATCACTTTTTGTTTTGGCTATGGGACAGAAAGTGAAGGAAAATCGCTCTAATGGGTCACGGGTGGCTCAAAAAAAAAAATGACAGGGGTTATAACACTCCCTTACTCTATACAAAATGGAAAAAAGTTTTGCATTTGTTTTACTTTAATTTTGTTAAACTTTGGTTTACTTCAAATGCATGCTCTAAGTTTTTTACACGTTAGTTTTGCTTTTGTTATACTTTAAGTGTTTGACCATACTTGCACTTTAAAGCTTTAAAAAATCCCAAATTTGAGTTTGTCCCCAGAACAGGAATAGATGGAACATCTTCAAATGGGAGCATTAGTTCTGGGGATCTAGAGGGCCCCCAATGGATTCCCTTAATTTGCAGGAATTTCCTATCACTTCTTGTTTTGGCTATGGGACAGAAAGTGAAAGGAAATCTCTCTAATGGGTCACGGATGGCCAAAAAAAATGACAGGGGATATAACACTTAATTTGCAGGAATTTCCTATCACTTTTTGTTTTGGCTATGGGACAGAAAGTGAAGGAAAATCGCTCTAATGGGTCACAGGTGGCTCAAAAAAAAAATGACAGGGGTTATAACACTCCCTTACTCTATACAAAATGGAAAAAAGTTTTGCATTTGTTTTACTTTAATTTTGTTAAACTTTGGTTTACTTCAAATGCATGCTCTAAGTTTTTTACACGTTAGTTTTGCTTTTGTTATACTTTAAGTGTTTGACCATACTTGCACTTTAAAGCTTTAAAAAATCCCAAACTTGAGTTTGTCCCCAGAACAGGAATAGATGGAACATCTTCAAATGGGAGCATTAGTTCTGGGGATCTAGAGGGCCCCCAATGGATTCCCTTAATTTGCAGGAATTTTTCTATCACTTCTTGTTTTGGCTATGGGACAGAAAGTAAAAGGAAATCTCTCTAATGGGTCACGGATGGCCAAAAAAAATGACAGGGGATATAACACTCCCTTACTCTATACAAAATGGAAAAAAGTTTTGCATTTGTTTTACTTTAATTTTGTTATACTTTGGTTTACTTGAAATGCATGCTCTAAGTTTTTTACACATTAGTTTTGCTTTTGTTATACTTTAAGTGTTTGACCATACTTGCACTTTAAAGCTTTAAAAAATCAATAACAGCTTCCCATACCCTAATCATCTGTAGAGATGATTTTCGTTACAATGTAGAACACAAACCTAAATGTGGAAGTGCCTAGATTATAATCTTCTTTGAAAAGCAATGCCAGGCTACATCAGGAAAGAACAAGAAGTGAATAAAAAAAGCTGGCTGTGACAACTCCTAAAAAAGTAGATTTCATGTAGTGAAAATTGATCTTAATAGCACTCATACAGGTACTAAAAAGTGCTATGCCTGCATTGTATCTTCTGTGTATACTCCCAGACTGAGAAAAACATCATATTGGGTACCGGGGGTCACCAAAAAAAGAAACATTCCAAGAGTGCCATGTACTATAGACAATTACAAGACAGTTTTATATTTCACCCATCAAAATGTTCTTACCGAAACAGACATAATAGGAAAATCAAGACGGCGTTGGGGCACTTTGGAGTTTGCAATTGTAGCTGTCTCCGCAAAATGCAGACGATCGGATGATGCTGCTGCGGCGGCACTAGTAAAGTACACTTCCATTAACAGCGAAGATCTCAGCTCCGCAGGAAAAAAAAAAAAAAAGCATTAGTCATAGCTCAGTACTATGTGTCAAGTTCACCTTTATAGTTCGGAGCGCCGTGCGGCACCTGGACTTGTCCTGGAGCATTGTGCTCCGCTGATGAATACATCCTTTCAGGTAATGCCTTCATTCTGGAAAGCCAGACAGTAATGGAAGCACAAATAACATAGGTATTGTCTAGTGTTTTCTATTAAGTTTTCCCGTAATGAGAAAACATATCCGAGCAAATCTCCTGGTAATTCAAGAGGATTACTCAAAGTCGACTTTGCTAAAAGTTCTCCTTTGTGCTGTTTGATGAGCACCTGATTTCCGTAATGCAGGCGGTGATTGGCGGCTTTCTGCAGAATGAACCTTCCTTCAATACGGAGAAGGTCAGGAGCGTATTGTTGTGCATTATTGCCACCTTTTGTATTCGGAAGCTCTCTCCCGACTCCATGTAGTGCAATATAAAAGCCATTGTAATCACCTCAACACAAGTGTGGTTGTATTCATCCAGAACCTGTACTGTCATTTGATGAGCTTATTTGTCTCTAAAGTCCTTGGTGACATTATACAACTATGTGCACAGATAGCTTGTCTATTATTTATATTTAGTGATGTGCGAACTTGGCGCTCTATTTCAAATTTCAGTGTTTTTGGTTTGATTATATTATTGAATTAAATTTATTATTATTATATTATTATTTTTTATGATTATTTATTAAATTATAATTTCTGATTTCGTGTTTCAAATTTTAACATACCCGGGATGTTTACTAGACTCTTGTTCGGACAGATTTCAGTGAGTTATTCCTAAAAATTACAGCCTACAATAAAAAAAAATACATATTTCCATGCAAAAAAATTACCGCTTTGAGCACAGAAATACTGACATAATCAGACCGCTAGGGAGGTTAACATATATTTTTACATATATTTGTAAATGCATTCCAAACATGCAGATTTGTATTTTTAAAGACATACTGTATATTTAAATGTATTTTTTAAAAATATTTTTCATATATTTTGTAAAAAAAACTAATTTCAACATGCAGTATATATATATATGTATATTGAATATGGCCAAAATGGTAGCATTTCAAATATATGGCAATATATTTGAGAAGAATATTTTAAAAGTATATTTCAAATACATTTTGCTTCCTTACACTATTACTCCATAGCAGCACAAAGCAACTGAGGTGCAAGGTAGCCAGATGAAAGCATTGGAGTTGATGTACTAAGGGTAAGCAGCCTGTTCACTTTGCAAGGAGATTTTACCCAGAGCTTACTGAATAAGGTGACGATCCACTGATTTTCATCATCCAATCCTGTGCAAGCAAAAGTACTATATTTTTTATTTTTTATTTTACCTCCAGGTAATTAGGTAGTCTTTTCACAGTGAGTGTTTATCACATTCACTAACGAAGGGAAAATTCCCCTGGGAAGCCTATTTTTCTTTAGTAAATCAACTCCACTATCTCACATTTTGATTTCACGGTTATCTGCTAAAACAAAATTATTAATTTCCTTGGTAACAAAAGAATAATTTTAGCAAAACTGTTCTTCTTTAATAATTTTAATAATATAGTTCTAGTCCCTGTATGAGACAAAAATGCCTTGCGGCTATTGTTGAAGACCACCTCTGAGTAAGGGATTAATACTCTCCATGCCTGTCACAATGGCGGCTGAATTATACTCTTCCTCCATGCATGGAACCGAGCAAAGTTTACCTTATTTGTAACATTTCATTAACATATCAGCCCTGTTATTAACAAAGATCTTTAATTGTATTTTTTATTAGTTTAGCTCACCACTTCTTTTGATATTTCAAATTGATTCACAAGACTGGTAATCCAAGTGTTTTAAAGTAATATAATAGTGGTATAATGAAATAAATAGGAAATAAGTAATTGGAAATCACATAAGCAAGTAAAATAAAATTGGTATAAAATGGAAATAGTTTCATAATCAGGTGAAAAAAAATGCATATGTTCTTTGAGTTCAACCGAAAAGGAAAAATACAGTAGAAACCTCGATCTCCGGACCCCAGAGGCATTTGGATACTCAACAACCTACAAGAATTCTTTAAAATAATAGCCAGTTATATTTTTACATTTAGAAACACATCCAACTCTCAATTTACAAAATTGAGTAGAACTAGCTACTATCTACTAGCTTTCACATTTTCACACTTTAAAGACCTTTTTTTCTATGGGTATGTTAAACTTTTTCTCTTTCAGGCAAAAAGTGCACCTCTTATTACTTATGAAGATGTTAGGCCGGCCATACATGGTTTACAGGCAGCACAGTGGCTAAATGGTTAGCACTTCCGCCTGACAGTACTAGGGTCGTTGGTTTGAATCCCAACCACAGCATCACCTGCCTGGAGTTTGCATCTCCCTGTGCCTGCGTGGGTTTTCTCCGGGTACTCCAGTTTCCTCCCACACTCCAAAGACATGCTGGTAGGTGAATTGGATCCTGTGTAAATTGGTCCTAGTATGTGTATGTATGAATGTAAGTTAGGGACCTTAGATTGTATGTCCCTTGAGGGTTAGGGACTGATGTGAATGTACAATATACATGTAAAGTGCTGTGCAAATTGACAGCGCTATATAAGTACCTGAAATAAATAAAAAATAGGCTGGTTCAGCAGAGACTTGCTGAATTTCAATCCATGTATGGGGAGGCAGGCTGTACAGAAGTCAACTGATCAACAGGTTGAACAAAAGAAAATGATTAATGTATGGCCAGCCTTAGGGTGAACAATTTTACACCATGTCCCTTTAAAGTCATAGTAAGGCTTGGTTTTTTTGCATTGTGCTTTGCGTTTTGCCGCATTTTTACCATGTTTGCATTTTTTTCAGCTTTTTTTTTTTTGTTAAAGTGGAAAATGTTTTATTGCTGGGCAGAAAAAACGCAAAACACAAAATGTGGCAAAAAATGTACTATATGCATTTCAGCCGCTCTATTGTAGCAAAAACTCTGCTTTTTGCATTTACAAAAGTCCCTGACCCTTTCCAAAAATGCAGCAGCTTAAAAAAGCATAGATGTGAACATGTCCCATAGGAAACCATGTTAAATGGACTGTAGAGCGTTTCTGCAAAAAGCACTAAAAAATGCATTGGTGTGAACCAGGCATAAAGGATACTTTTTGCTTTAAAATGAAAAAAAAGGTTGAGCTTATGCAAGGGTATCACACAGAGCAGTCCCTTGCCTTCTCTTTTGCAGTCCCCCATTGGCACTGTCTGCTTCTTCTTTTATTCCTACCTTATGTGCTTCTATACAGCTCTGGTAAGCCATGTGCCGCTCCTTCCTCACTGGAGTTTAGCTGACAGCAGGAGGAGCCTATGGCTTTCAGTGCTCTCAGTGTCCCCTGTGAGACCCGGAAGTGAGGGGAGCAGTGCTGCAGCCAGTACAGTGCTAGGGTGGGGAGAGAAGCCAGGTAAGTGTGTAGAGATGGGGGAGAACAGAAAATGGGGTATTTTTCACCTTAATGCATTGGGGTAAAAAATATGTTTTTACTTTAGAACCACTTTAATCACCTCTTCTGATTGTAGAGTAAATTATCTTCAGTTAATCTTTCCCCATATTTGAAGACCTCCATAAGCCTTGAAGGAAACGTATAGCAAGGGGCGGACTGACAACTCATGGGGCCCCCAGGCAATAGGGGATCATGGGGCCCCTGTGTCCTTGCCCAAACTCAAAAAAGCCTATGAAAAAGCTACCAGGGGCATCTCATGGGGCCCTCTTCTGACCCCGGGCACTCGGGCAGCACCCGAGTTTCCAAATGGTCAGTCCACCCCTGTGTATAGCCCAAGCTATTTTGGCTATGCTTCCCCTATGGATCACAGGAGTGCAGTTCGTTCTGCGCTCCTGTGACCCATTTTCAGCCGACATCACTTAGCCAGTCCAAGCTCTGGATGATTCCCAAATTTAAAGTTGGGATCCAGCCAGATGCCTGGACTGGCAGCTGGGTCAGCCTCTCTGAGAGCCTGAGCCAGCCTCTCCTGGCCCCTCCACAGCTCAGCGCTCCAGCGAGCGCTGGAGGGGCACAGCAGAGAGCAACTGACAGTAACCACCTGCTGCTCAGTAAAGACTGAGAACCATACTTTTGAATTAGTATATAAGTGTTTGGGATATTGTGGTTGCTGCACTCATATGTTACAAACTTTCACACCTTTTGTCCACTACGTGCAAGATACACACATTTTTTAAGTGATAATGATTGCATTCCTTTGAGTATTGAGTACTTTCTGGTACACCCACACAGATATTGCTAAATCCCGGGTCATCTGACTGTAGATCTTTCAAGAGCCTGTTTGGGGACATCCTATCTCCATGAGCTTTGTTATCTCCAGGATTGGTGAGTGGGCAGAAGCCCACCTTTAACATTACATTCAGAGACACTGCATACAAACACTTTTACATTTTTTTCTGCATCAAAGGCCTTTTGCTGGGAAACACCTTATCTATTCTTTCCAACCTTGCTGGTTGCCATTGTACAGCAAATTTCCTTAGACCCCTTAGTAGCTAGCTGGAGATCTCAGACCTCTCACTTCAAGGAATCCTACACACAAAGGAACTGTCCTACAGAATCTGTTACCATTAAATTGTTTGTAGCACCTGCTGATCTTAAGGGGGAACTCTTACCCAGGTCTCACAAATAAATGCCCACTCACATTTTGGCAAAGAGAAAACACATTTACATCCTCATGCTTGGGTGTACTGCATGGGTTAGGGATTTTCAGGGTGTTCCAAGATGGCGTCCATTGCATTCCTACAGAATCTGTTACCGTTAAATTGTTTGTAGCACCTGCTGATCTTAAGGGGGAGCTCTTACCCAGTTCTCACAAATAAATGCCCACTCACGTTTTGGCAAACAGAAAACACATTTACATCCTCATGCTTGGGTGTACTGCATGGGTTAGGGATTTTCAGGGTGTTCCAAGATGGCGTCCAACGCATGATGTGCGTCACCGTGCACCGGAAGCTGCGTCACAGCATACCTCGAGGAAGTCACGAGGTATAGTGACGTAACGCGTAGGTTTGCCATGACGCAGCTTCCGAGGCGCGGTGACACACATCCTGCGTTGGACGCTATCTTGGAACATCCTGAAAACCCCTAACCCATGTAGTACACCCAAGCATGAGTAAATGTGTTTTCTCTTTGCCAAAACGTGAGTGGGCATTTATTTATATTATTAAAGGAGATTTAATTACAAAATTACTGCACTATGAAGGATCTCTTTTTTTCTCACCATGGGTATTGGTGAGAATAATATTTAACAGGCACACCTTTCCTGAGAGGCCTGGAGTATCTGATATAATACCTGGGAGAGGGACTACAGGTGAAATACTACCAGCCAGGATTGGAGTAGGATCTAGGAGTGATCCTGAAAATGAAGTGGCCCATTGGGTCGCCTAAAGGAGGTGAGGAGGCAATTTAGCCACTGTGGATAAAGTGTCTGACACTTTCACGGACATCATCACCACCATCACCTTGCATGATATTTTGTTGTTTGAAGCACCTATTCATATTCATGGACTATTAGAGATTTATATTCGTGTGTTTTCCATGTGATTTGTTGTGTGGTCACATTGGCACTTATCACCTTTGTATTGTGTCCCCTGTGTAATAGGGGTCTATTTCCTAACATTATAGATTTCAGCAGGGGCAGACTGACCATTCAAGCACTCGGGCACTGCCCGAGGGCCCGGGGTCAGTAGGGGGCCCCATGAGATGCCCCTGGTACCTTTCATTGGCTTTTTCATAAGCTTTTTTGGATGTGGGTGAGCACACAGGAGCCCCATGATCCCCTATTGCCCGGGGGCCCCATAAATTGTCAGTCCGCCCCTAGATGGCAGTATTATTTACATTTGTGTTGTTGGATTTTACTGTTGTCAGGTCACTTGTGTGACCACAGGTCACATTGGTATGGGCACTATATGCACTTATATTTATTATTTACGGTTACACAGTTTATTATTTATTCATTTATTTTAGCACAGGGGTTTATATCATTTTGATATATATTTAGGGAAGCGCTGCACTAGTTTTGAGTATTACTCCTTTAAGGCCTGTTGGCTCTTACCGCCAGACTCACTGTAGTTTGCTAAATCCTGCAATTTGGGGATCACCCTCAGTTCACATTTTTGTTGCCATAATAACCTCTAGTAAAATATTATTTTATAATCCCTACTATTCCTATTGGTGTTCTTTGCACTTGTGCTTACAGTGATTTTATCTAACCAGGTGTGTCAGAGTGGCTCAGGTTGTTCTTAGGGTTGAGGTGCAGAGGAGGGAACCCAAAATTACCAAGCGACTCCTTCAGGGGTAGTGCTACACATAAGTTGTTAGCTAAATTTATTATGCGGCTTCTGCTGTAGCCACAGGAGCAGAATTGTTTAGTTTGGTCTGCTCAGGGCTCTACAGGCTGGGAATTTGATTACCTCCACCTGACTCTAGGACGAGCTTCTGGAGATTAAGGTAGGAGGATTCAAATACCCAGCCTGAATATCTTGTAGGGCCCATCCAATCCCTGGGGAGGTGTGCCCCGATGGTGGATGGGTTCCTATTAAATAGGCTGGAGCCTATAGGAGGGGGTCTTTTTCCCTGTGTGGAAATCTATTGGTGAACTGCAGGGACTTCTTACCCTGGAGCATTCCTGGGCTGGACACTGGATTTTTGTTGAGGTCGTGCTTATGAACTGTATACGCTTTGGGACTCTGTGAGCAAAGTCTCTGCTCTTGTGCTGGAGTTCTTTTGGTATCAGGCTGAGAAACTTGAGCTACCTTAGTCCTCCATGACTTGTGCTACATTTTTGGGTACATGGATCCCAGCTGTGCACATACAGACTGTACTAGCTGATTATCATTACTGTGAGAATTACTAGAGCTACCATCCAGATAAAAGTGTCCCCTGTGGACAACCTGTCTTGTTTTGGGGTATCCTTCTTCATTCACAGACCCCCTCTCCAAGTTCTCCAGCATAAAACAACAAAAATACATCCTTAGAATGTTTACCGAATCACTGATGGATGACAATGTTGTGCCTGGCTGCCTTGCACTGATTAGGAAAGAATCTGTGAACATTAACAGCGGCCCCTTCAAGGCTAGCGTTACATCCGCTTTAAACTCCTTAATGTTATTGTTTGCAATGTTCAGTTAAAGGAAAAAATCATTGTCTATGTTTCTTTTCTGATGATTATGAGAAAATTTTATGGTGTCAGATACACTAGATATGTCACTTACCTTAAGATGTCTGCCTATTTTTCTTAGAGAAAAAAAAATCTTTGATATAGCATCACTCTGGTGCTGGTGCCTGCCTTTCTCTCATAGCTGAGTCCTGCCAATAGCCATCCCCTGTCCCATGGAACAACATTACAGGCTATCACTAGCGCAGGCACTTATTGGACATATGTGTGGCAGTATAAAAGACGACCCACTGCCACCGCAAAGAGAAATGGAAAAAGGCTTCAGCTTAGACACTAAAAAGGGAATTATAAAAAACTGTTGCAGTGTGGAACTATAAATTCACAATATATGCACTAGTGGTTCTTCAGAACGATGATAAAGAGCAGCAAAAGACCTGGGGAGGCAATGGTGGGCAGAATAAAAACAAGAAGGCAGAAGATTGGCTTGTGTACCTTTGTGCCCTTGGGCTTGTGTACCTTTGTAGTCATGGAGATGTGAACCCTTGTAGACTTAGGCTTGTGAACCCTTGTAACCTTGGGTTTGTGAGCCCTTTTAACCTTGGGTTTGTGAGCCCTTATAGCCTTGGGTTTGTGAGCCCTTGTAGACTTAGGCTTGTGAGCCCTTGTAACCTTGGGTTTGTGAGCCCTTGTAACCTTGGGTTTGTGAACCCTTGTAACCTTGGGTTTGTGAGCCGTTGTAACCTTGGGTTTGTGAGCCCTTGTAACCTTGAGTTTGTGAACCCTTGTAACCTTGGCTTTGTGAGCCCTTGTAACCTTGGCTTTGTGAGCCCTTGTAACCTTGGGTTTGTGAGCCCTTGTAACCTTGGGTTTGTGAGCCCTTTTAGCCTTGGGTTTGTGAGCCCTTGTAGCCTTGGGTTTGTGAGCCCTTGTAACCTTGGGTTTGTGAGCCCTTGTAGCCTTGGGCTTATGAATCATTATAACCTTGGGGCTGTGAACCATTGTAGCCTTGGGCTTGTGTTCCTCTGTAGCTCTTGGTCTTGTGTACCTTAGGGTTTATATGACTCAAGAAAATTCTGCATATACAGTATGCATACTTACTTATCTGTACCTTCTGTAGGGAGAACGTGGCTACTGTATATTTATCATACACATCGAAGGCTTTAGCTTTTGCTGCAAGACATTACTTTAATCAATTTATAAAGCAAAGAAGGCAGACCTGTTTTGGAATATAATTGCAAGTGTCATTTAACTTGTAAATCAGCTCTTACCCAAGTTTCACATTTACAAAATGATTTGCTATTTTTTAAGCAGTCTACCAACAACATTCCCCAACAACATCATTATGGAAATACAGCATTGCCTTCACCTCTGTTTTGAACTTGTTGTGTAGTTGTTTTCTAGATGTATTTGCATTATTAGTAAAGAATAGAAGAGAATTTGTATTTGTCATTCTGTAAGGAAAAATGTAGACATTCTTTGTGAGTCAGCTTATAAAAAGATGTAAGGTGTAAAAAGCTACAGAAAGCTGCAGCTGATAGTGTGACCATGCAATTTACCTCAAGCACAGAAATAGGCAAGAAACATGCTGCCTGATAAAATGTTGACAGGTTCGGGTTAGAGTGTTACTGAATGTAAAACTTAAGTTGCCTTACATAACGAGACTGACAAATATATATTCCTGAAGCGTCCTTTAATTAGCCATATCTTGCTAGAATTTGTTTATTTACACCTGATCTGACCTATTTTACATCTTATCAGATTGATGATCTTTAGCCACCTCTGGTATCTAGGATGTGTTTTGAAGACTTGCTTCCCTGTCATGCTGTGGTACCTCCTAAAGCTGGCCATACATTGTGCAAATTTCCTGCTGAACCGGCTGAAACTCAATCAGTAGGAGGCCCTGTCATCACCCTCCCTCTCCGTATACTTCGACTGAAAAATTGAGGGAGCTGAGTTGAATAGTTGCTGCATCCAAACAGATGCAGCTGCTGTTTGAGTATTTTGGCAGCTGGCATGACTTTCAACCGGAAAGATAGGCTGTGGACAGTCCCTGAAAATGCTCCTCTGCGCACTGGAAAAAATCAGAGGCAATTTATAGCTTTGTTAGGCTTTTTGAGCCTTCCTGCTCAAAAAAGCCATTGCTGTCCAGTTATCCATCAGAACCTTCACTGTCTTTTGTCAACAAAAGTCTTCAGAGCATTCAGAGTTGCTGTTAATTCTAACAGAGTGGATAGGTTAGAAACTGGTCCCTACCTTTAACCTAGAATGAGTCTCGCCTGACAATGGGTCCTCTAGCTGGAGCGTGGCGTCAGAAGTAACTATGATCCAGTCTCCAACACTGAATGTCCTACCCTGAACAATATTGCTTAGTTGCAGTCTGTCAGGGCTCCAGGTATGACCAGAGATGTGTGGACTGACACAGGGAAACGCAGGCTTCAGGTATAGTATAACAATACAATTTATTACAGACTAAACAATACATAAACGCAGTGCAAGACTAAACATAAACACAGTGCAAACAAACCAAACCTCCAACAGATAACAATAAGAACAATACTAAACGTAGTCGGGCAGGCCGTGTCGGTAGCAAACGGGCAGGCAAGGTACAAGGAGCAGGCGGAAGAGTAGTCAGGAATAGCCGAGGTCGGTACAGGCAGAGTTTGTGCAGAGTCAGGATTCAAGCGGGCAATGATTAGGATACAGGGGCCAAGGGAAACAATACACCAAGGCACTGACTGCAGGCCTGGCTACTCCTTAAATACACCTCCTGAAATCAGCCTCAGGTGATGACTTGATTGCAGGAGTGAGCTTCTGGCTGCTGAGAGCACCCGCTGGTCAGCCCTGGTACTGCAGCCCACATGGCAGGTGAGTCCCACCACCAGTGGTGAGTCCATTCCTGACAAAGCCAAACGTTTCTTTGCTCCTTAAATCCGCACATGGGGGATACCTGTCTCTGGTCACTCTGGGGTATTCACTGGTTCTTTCCTTCAGGGCTGGGCCTTGCCATATGGGAATACGTTCAGCTCTGGATAATAGCATTTTGCTGTATGTATTTTGCATCCTGTATGGTTAATAATTATGTTTATGTAATACTTTGTGCAAATTTGTGTATTTTATTGTTTTCTTTTTTTGATTTGTTTAGTAGCACATAGGAGCGTCTCTCCCATTTATCATCCTCCTGAAGAAACAGGCACAGATTCCTGCAAAACATTTTGAGGAAGAATATTCATCATCAGAACTGTTCAGTAGGAAAATCATTACTCCATGACTAAAATAAATGATTTGGTCTGTAATATTTGTATGTTTTGTGGTGGGGATGTTGCTCAATAACATTTTATCTATGTTTTTTATTTAATTGCAATTGGACTATGTCTAGTTTTTATTATTTATATAAATAAAGCAAAATTAAGGAGCACCTTTCCTCCCCAGATGTTTTAAATTTTGTATATCTGTGTGGCTTTCTTCGAGGGCACCTCAAAAAGTCATGAGAGGTTTTTGGAATTATGATTTCTGATGATTTGAGGATGTGGTGCCTTTGTTTTATGGCCGAATCCACCCACCCTTATTTTACTTGACAACCACCCTCAAAGATCTCTGTTGACTGTAGAGGGAATGAGGATGGACTGGTCATCTCTCTGTGACTTGTAAGCACAAGCACTTGGAAGTGGTGCATGTGCCACTGTGCACACTGAACAACGTAAATAGTAGATGTCTAAAATCCTAAGAACACCATACAGTCTTCTGGTCTGAACCACTCT